CGGGGTAGATGGCACTCGTCGGAAGCTAATAGAGGGTAACTGTACATGCACATGTGGGTGTGTTTTTTACGTGTGTCTGTGTGTAAGAACAGCGAGGTAATGTGATGTGAAGAGTGAATTTGCCAGCATGTGGTCATCTAGATTATGGATATTTTCACATGCATACACACGCTTGTCTTATTTCATTCTCTCTTTTCTAATTCCCCTAAAACTACCTAATTACTCCCAATATGTAATCCAATCGGCCAAAAAGCAGTATGTTAAGGTTCATTATGCGTTGACTAATACACCACACAAGTTTGGATGGAGCTATTCATGCAGCTCATCTTATTAAACCTGCTCTCTCTCAGTCTGAGATGAATCCAATTTAATAACACATGCTGCACTGCGCTTTTATTACTGTAATATTCACCAAAGACTAGCCTAAAATGGCACTTTCGGGGCAGCATTGACAAACACAGATTGTATTTGTGTTCTCGTGACATTTAATCACCATTTGTGATGCTGTGTTCTTTTACAGTGGGGACACTTGTTATAAATATCCTCAGATCGTAATTCATGATATTGCTGTTGCAGGGAAGCTAGATAGAATACTTATTTACACATCCTGATGCTCATACTTGTTTGTGACTTTGAAGAAGTGATGCTACAGTAGGATTGTCAGGACAATATGGGTAGTAGTGTGTGTGGGTTGGAGTGTGTGATCGTCCAAGTCAATGGCATTGATTCCGCTTGGGCTGGAATTCCATCCTCTTCCTCCGTCCCTCCTCCCCCTCACTCTTTCACTGTGCAGCTCACAGAAGAAGAAGAACAAAGAAAGCCAGGGGTTGCAGAAGGCAAACTGCTTGACCTGACGACTGCAGCAAAATCCTTAGCTATTGCTGGTGGCATGATTGTGACAGAGGTGACAGTTGAGGTTGAGGTTATTGGATCCATTTTATGTACCGTAAAAAGGCAGAGGGGAGAAAGAAAAAGTGTCGTCTAAACTAAGTTGGATCGGGGTGCTTCAAAAATAAGTTGGTGTGATATTGTTCTGATTTCTGGGTTAAAATGTTTTTATTTTTTTGTTTTGTTTTGATAAATCAGATGTCAGCTAGTGAGCATCACTTCAAGAGCTGGTAGGGGTTTGGGGTTTATGTTTTGATATCTCACAAATAGCTGTGCTCGCAGTGCCACTGCATGGGTGCTCAAAACCTTTATCTGTCCCAGCCAGCAGAAGTCTGAATTTACCTTTTTGTCTGTTGTACTCGCATCGTTAAAATTTCAAAGCCACTGAACCTCTGAATCTGACGTAGGAGAAGCAGCCTGAAGTGCCAGGAATTGCTGCTGAAGTCGAGTGGATACATGTGACCAGATGATAAACAGCAGCTTGCTTCATTACATCTGCTTAGTCATGAAGAAATTGTTGGTTAGATAGCTCTGCTTAGATGCCGGGTGTATCATTTTTGACCCCTGAAAAATACCGACTAAAGGTCTGTCCACCGCATGCAATGAAATCAAATATCAGAGGAACCCAACATTTAATTAATAATAAAGACGCTATTACGGGTGGCTAAATTTCAAATGAGTCATTTCTGTAATGTAGTCAGGGCCTTGTGTGAGGTTAATTGAGACCTTGACAGCACTTAAGTCTCTGCTGTGTGCTTGTGTGTCTTGTCTTACCTCTGGCTACAGTGTCGGCTCTTGGGCTTTATGGAAAGAGATTTGATCTCAGTGAAAAGCGCATACACCAAGTGTGTATGTGCGTGTAATCACAACGGTGCTGCCATGGGAGCGAGAGGATGGGATAGAGAGCTACAGTCGATGTAAGAGGAGAAACAGATTTATATAGGGACAAGCACATATTCAATGGAACTCAAGTGTTCTCAGGGTAGGAAAGAAAGTCATTCTTTGTATTAGTTTTTGTTTCTTGAAAGCCAAGGCTGAAGTGATCTCATTTTTTCTCCTTGGAGACTGGGAGGAGGGCTTTTCCAGTGCTCTGCATAGTGGAGGAGGATCACAGACTTCGAGCATACAGGAGATACAGAAAATGACTTAATCTAGCTCGCAATATGAGATGGATCAGTGTCAATTTTTGGATAACTCCGCAATGTATTATTAGCTTGTCAATATTGTATCTTGCTACCTCTGGCTCTTAAGTCCCAAACAAAAATATGATTGTGTTCATTTTTTTAAAAAATGTATCGAGAAGCATTGTTGGCATCGTGACCAGACTGACAGACGCACTCTCCAACCCCCCTCCTTTCTCCTCTCCTGTCACTCCCCGATCCTCTCCAGCTTTATCTCCTCTTCTCAGCCTTCTATTCATTAAACAGACATAAACAAAAGAAAGTTTTTTGTTTGCAGCCAGTGTCTCTCTGTTGCATGTGGCTCCATCTCACTGAGCTCATGGAAGCAATCACAAGCTGTTTGTTGCTTACCGTTAACAGCCCATACTTTGGGAGGGGGCCCAACTTAATACATAATTGAAAATGGTTGCTGTGGTCCATTTGGTACGCTTTTGTTCTTCCTACATCAGCAACGCAGGCACCGCCAGGAGGCTGCTCTAGGGGATTTGCTTTTTTTCTCTGTCATTTTTTCCCCTCCATCTCTTTCTCTCTCTCCTTTGATGCCTTTTTTCTATGACAATTCACACTTCAGTTGAGATTGCTCTAAATTTCGATTCCAGCCAAAATGCTCTTTTAAGTGGCTGTCTCAGTCTGGATGCCATTCGTCCCTCACTTCCTCATTTTTTCCCCCACATATAAAATGTTTTCTTTTATGTGAGTGCATGCACCCATATTATGTGGCTCTGTTTGTCTCAAAGTGAGCTCTATTATCGCCTTTAATGTTCCTGAAGTATAACAGTTAGTATGTCACTTAACGCAGCACTCTTTCTGCCTCTCACCATGGATTTTTCTTTTAATTTTTTTTTTTCCTTATGACCTCCATGCAGCACTTATTCTTCAAATTGGTGTTAATGTAAGACTGTAATCAACTTTGTCTTATATAGGCTACAGCATGTTGAACTGTCCATGGTCATATCTCAGTACAAAGCGCACAGCTATCAAATGGACACACTATTATCCATCACCACTCTTCTCTTCCCACCTAAGATTGCTCCTGTGGCTCGCTCATGAGATTTGGCTTTCAATCTGTCTACCAACGGACCACCCCCTCTGGCCAGCCCCAGCCTCTCTCCCCGGGGAAATGCACCGAGGTCTTGGAGCGATTTTGTTGTAATGGAACTTCAGGATAAACTAGATTTGATGATCCACCCCGTACAGGGGCCTCTCGGCGGTTTGACTTTGCCCCTTCTCTTTCCTGTTTCAGCCGTAAACCTCATTACCTGAGGCTGATTCTTCAATCTGGCCTCCCCAGGGAGACAGGGGTGAGGAGGGACAAACGAACACAGGAAGTGGAGTGTCACTTCAGATCGCAGTTCATGTCGGGAAACCAGTTGATTTGTATAACCGCTGAGCCGGGATGAGTTATTTGAGAGTTGAGAGATCTTGCTGTTATTGGTGGCGTTGTGTGCGTATGTGCTTTTTGCAAAAGTATTTAGTTTTTGCCACAAGCAGCTGATTTGTATTGCATGTCTCACGATTCGTGGTATTCAATAAAGTATAATAACATAATAATAATCATAATAAAATAATCAATGATAATATGGAGAATTAGATGAATGTGAACGCTTAGTGGCTTCAGTTTCCACACTTTGACTCGTCATTTTTGTGAGTGTTGCTGCAGTGGTACTTTGTGTTGTGACAGCTGCAGGTGTTTGTTCAGCTCCTGACAGATGCACACTGTGGCCTCCCTTGACGCAGTTAGGCTGCAGTTCGACATGTGTCCATTGTACAAACTGGCTGTTTTGACTGGTAGTGTGTGAACGAAGCTCACTGCAGTGGAAGCAGGCCGTGTGCTGCCGACGGACTGACAGGCATTAGCAACGTTGTCAACACCTTTTCTTCCCTTTCTGTTTGGCTTTTTTGAGTTGCTCCTTTTAATCTACGTTGTCTGGTCTTGGCAGTCAAGCTTCTCCAGTTTTTTCTCTGCTGTTTTCTCCTCTTCCCCCTAATCCAAAAACTTCCTCCTATCTGATTCCAACCCAGCTGTTTGATTTGCTCTGATGGAAGTAATTTTATTTTACACATGGACGATGCATCACTCTACACTGAAGGTGTTTTATGTGTTGGATACATTTGTTATTCATTTATTCGTTAACTAAAACAAAACATGTTTTTGCCCTGTGAAGCTTCCTTGATGAAAACATATCTTGCATGCATTACAGCCGCGGCAACAACCAATGCTGTAACGCTGGAATCAATAACCACAGCTAATCGTTTTCATCTCAGAATATTTGACCCATGAGATCCTTGCAAGTGCTATATCAGTGTTAGTCCCATGCTGATCAAGTGAAACTTGTGAACGGTACTAGTGTTTAGTAGTTAATCTGCTCAAAGACAGCATTTTTGACTTTTATAGCTAGAGTCTGGCTTTATAATGTTTTTATTAGTTCCCCTCAAGGCATCTTTTAGAACATTAGAAAATATTCACTTTGAATAATAATATCAATAATAATTTTGGTATGATACGGTTGATCCACAAAAAAAGTACATTAAATCTAAATTTAAGCATAACTACTTCTTCCTGATTTAAAAGTTTTAATTGTTGGAAAAAAGATATTTCCTATTTAACTAAAATGTCCATTCTCAGTGTCAGTGCACTGGAGGCTTCGGGTTTCCACATGACTCGTGTAGTTTGCATATTAGCCCAGGATTTACTGTGTCACTACATCATGCCTGTACATACACATGTTTAAGTGAGATTTAAGAGAGAAACTTTCTCCCCTCAGCAGTGAAAGTGAAAACAGCCTTCTAGTGTCAAACTGGACAACATCCAACTGAAATAACAATAAGCAAAATACTCTCAACCAACCGATAATATTGGTGTAATTGTGCTTTCATATACTATGTCCTTAACTTACCTTTTTTTTTCTTTCCTCCTCTTTTTATCTCCAGGTAAGGAGGAGTCAGTCGCCACCTTCAAGGGGAACGAGTTCTTCTGCTACGACCTGTCGCTGACGCCCATCCAGAGCAGCACTGACGAGATCACACTTTCCTTCCGCACACTGCAACGCAATGGCCTCATGCTGCACACCGGCAAGTCGGCCGACTACGTGAACCTTTCCTTGAAGAGCGGCGCAGTTTGGCTGGTCATCAACCTGGGCTCGGGGGCATTCGAGGCCCTGGTGGAGCCTGTCAACGGCAAGTTCAACGACAACGCCTGGCA